CTTAGTCGCTCAATTAGCGACTGTGAATACTTTTTAATCGCTCATTCTTCTATTGCTGTTTTTTAGTCGTTGGAGTTTGCGTTTATAAAATTTACATAAGAAAGTGGTACTATAATGGATAAAAAGTAAGTCAATTGAACTAGAATTTGTAAAAAATTGTGAAATATACATATGCATGTATGTGTCTGAATTACAGATCAAAAATTATAAGGGGTATTCCATCGTCACGGGTGGGACATTTGTACAGCAATAATAGTTTTTCTCTTTTAAATTTAAGTATAAAGGGCTAAGCAATTCTACATTTCGATAAACCTACACCTAGTTCATTAATATACGAGTTATTACCAAATACGAAAAATATTCCAACTTGATTTTATATGGGAAAATTATGAGCTCTTTCTTCTGTCACGGGTAAGACAAAGAAAATACACTGCTTTTTGGAGCACATATATTTTACAGAAAGTCTGTGAATTTACTTAACATTTCTATCTGAATGAGATGTTTTACTATACAGAAAAGAAGCAGCAATCCTAACAAAGCACAAACCATAACAACAATTAGTTGTTTATTAATAAAAAATTCAAAATTCTCCTGTCACGGGTGGGACAACTTTTGTCACGGGTGGGACACGTACAATTTTCTTCATGAAATGGAGCTTCTAGTGAGATCCGTATCAAAGGGCTCAGGTACGATAAATTTTGGAGGCCAAATACAAGATCAACTGACCCACTTTTATCACAGTAGAGTCATTGTAAGACTCACGATATACTGCTGCCCTCAGGATCTATTTTAGGGGGCAATAGTTATACCAAACGAAAGCTAGAAGTCGCCAGACTGTTGTATTCAAATGCATTGGAGAATAGATAGAATGTTAGAGGCTGTGCACTGCGACCTTAGGTCTATTGTGCATTGGAGAATGTATTATTTGCAAACGCATGATATTTTATATGCATTTTCCAAATGCACTTCTGCTCGGTGCATTTGATTGCAATGAAATTTCGAATGTGCCTTAATGATTTTCAAATTTGTTTAGACTAGCTATGTATGTCTCGCTAACACTAACTACAGGTTAAAGATGGATATCGACTCCTGTTATCACGTCGATAGCGATGTCTAACCTGCTGTTAGTGTTAACCAGACATTTAGTAATCGGCCCTAAGAGTGGCTGGAGTTGAGTTATTTTTGGAAAACTGATTTCATGGAGAAATCAGGCTCAAATTTAGCTATTCTTTGTTAGAAAAGTTATCTGCATTAGAATACTTGTCCACAGATATATACATATATCTTTGTCACTTAAATGCTATCTATTAGATTGAATTTATAAGTTAGGCGAACTTCTACATTTTCTAGGTTGGAACTTTTGAGGTAATTGTTAGTATTGACTTTTGGATTGTTGTTAAGCAACCCTCATCATAGAATTCTCTGGCGTCTCTATGATAGTAATGTTTACCTTGTCTTTTCGAGTTAGCCACGCGAAATTTTTTTACTACATCGCTTAGCTCATCAAAAGTATTATGGTGTTTAGTCAACCTGAACATCAAAGTTTTGTGGCATTAAACATAGGTTTGAAACGTTAAACTTNACAGTTTACTGACAGAAGGAAAAAGAACTTTGTTTATTCCAAAAATATAATTAAACAAATATTTTCATAACAGGTCTATTCTGCACGTTACCGAAGATTTTGTGACTGGAAAATTGTATTACCAAAAAATGTTACCACTTCTTGTCACTTCTTGGGCACTTTCAAGATTGTAGACTTACAAATCTGTCCATTTAACATGTTCATGTACTACTTCTTGTCAAATGTAACTGGGCGACTACCTACATATGTGCACAATTTTGCTTTATTACTCAGTTGTTAAGTTTATAATTTGGTCTTATTGCTTAACGAGAAATGAAATAAAGCAAATTTGCGTTTTTTCACATTCAATTGGGAAATAAATGTATGCGAATGGAACTTAGCCCAAGTATTCCCCGATCTCAACGTATTTCACATGATAATCTTGCAATATCAGTTCTAGCATAACAGCCGAGTTTGGAATACCTTCACAAAATTCGTCCTGTGGCTCAAAATGGTGGTTTTCACCAAAAGTTGAAGCGATTTCAGCGCCTCATTTCTGTTGGTTTGATCCACGCCAAATGTCATAGAAAATCATCGCACGAAAATGTTCACGATTTAATTCTATTTATCTTTTTCTTACCAAGATGAATGTTTCAGGGTTTTGTAAAAACACTCAGAGCTATCACAGAATCCGATTTTTCGGGAATTCTACGAAAATGCGATCATTAAATCCGAATTGCTACGAACGTAGCGTATACTTTGAATNATTCAATTGGGAAATAAATGTATGCGAAAGGAACTTAGCCCAAGCATTCCCCGATCTCAACGTATTTCACATGAAAATCTTGCAATATCAGTTCTAGCATAACAGCCGAGTTTGGAAACCTTCACAAAATTCGTCCTGTGGCTCAAAATGGTGGTTTTCACCAAAAATTGAAGCGATTTCAGCGCCTCATTGCTGTTGGTTTGATCCACGCCAAACGTCATAGAAAATCATCGCACGAAAATGTTCACGATTTAATTCTATTTATCTTTTTCTTACCAAGATGAATGTTTCAAGGTTTTGTAAAAACACTCAGAGCTATCACAGAATCCGATTTTTCGGGAATTCTACGAAAATGCGATCATTAAATCCGAATTGCTACGAACGTAGCGTATACTTTGAATACACACGATCGTAGCGATTCGGACAGTGAACGCATTTTCGTAGATTTCACAATAAATCGGACTACGATGGATTATGTGATAGTCACCACTAATAGCACACGTATGACAAAACTTTCTGAATACGTTTAGCCGCTGTATTTAATTCGCAGCATTATGTCCATATCGTTGTAAAGCACATCGTTTAATCATCTGCGGATTTCACAGAATCTTTCTCGCGAATATTTCAAGAGCCGCTTCATCAGATAATTTAATTTTCCATGCCTCGGCGCTATACACCAGTACTTAACTTTTCAAGTGCCTACTCAGTCCAAAGTAGCACTTGTTATCAAGAGTAATTCTCCGTTGAATTTCAAGGTTGACATTAGTAATGGTGTTAATGCTGGTTCCCAAATAAACGAATTTGCCTCCTTTTTCAAACTTGCAACTATCAACGTTGACGTCGGTGCCAAGACGCTTAAGCCCTGACTGTTTGTGTGATGACAGCAGATACTTCGTTTCGCCCTCGTTCACCACCAGACCCATTCGCTTTGCTTCTCTATCTAATCCCGAGAAGGCAGAAAAGACGTAGCCCTTGTTTTTAACGATTATGTTGATGTCATCGCCAGCAGTTGTGCGCTCTTGGAAAGAATTCGGCCTGAGCGGTTCAGTTCTGCGGCTCTTAGGTCGTCACTTGTCTGAAACCTTCCTTGGTATCAAACGGCTCAGAGAGGTTCTTCCCAATTCTGGTTGTATTGATCAACGTCATTTTATATTCTCTTGTATTGGTTTCGCGGGGATACCAAATTCAGACATCGCAACATAACCAACTTATTCTCGTGCTCTCGAAAGCGACAAATAGACGGCGCGTATCGATCTCATTCCCGCGAGTCTTTTCCAATATTTGGTGTATTGTGAATACCTGGTCTGCGTCTGGCTTTCGCACAATACGCTCCATAAGACCTGGTAACCTACGATTAGCTTTGAATGATGATCCCGCGGTAGTTGGCGCCTATGGCGGGGTCGGCTTAATTGTTCATTTTCAGGCGTTTTTCTTGTCGGCCAGCATTTTAAGCTTTTCGCACTTACAAATTTCCGGCTTTTCTTCTCGCTTCACTCTTCAGATAACTATAAGGGTTCCACATAGCTCGCATTGTGCCCGGTCGTATCGTGGGCCTGTAGGCGGCATATTTTTTCTCTGCACCTTATCGTTTTCCGATCTGGAGACAACCACGTAGTTTGATGGATCTTTTTATGCATGAACCTAGTACTGCATACTTAATGTGACCAACCGTACTTCTTTCGGAAGTACAGTACTTCTTTTTTCGCTCTTGTACTTCGTACTTCGAAGTACAGTCCAATGTACTTTTTTGCGATATTTTATACTTCAGAAGGGAGATTCTGTAACCAGTTAGCGACAATTCTAGGATCGCTATCGCGCTTTGCTAAAAACGCTAGAGAGACTGATAGAGCTGAACATAAGAAGCGCGATTCCTCATGACCGTCTTTCAAGAGCTCAATATGCTTATTGCAAGAAAAGGTCGGAGAATAAAAAAGGAAACGAAGACGTTTCTCTGCTGCAGCAAATGTTTTTATAGGGCACTTTAAAACAGGTTACCTCTCAGGGGCTAGTGATGGAGTTCTTACAGGCCATTCTGCGATTGGTATTCATGTGGTGGGACTAGGAATTTCAACTGATGGTTTCGTATCAGCTGGCAAGAGGAAGATGAAGCGGAATCATCTCCACACTTTCTTTTTGGCTGTCCAACCATCGCGAAATTAACCGCATTCGAAATTTCGTAATCGGCTCGCGGCTTTAACTTAACCCAACCTTAGCTGTACTTCATTGAGCTAAGAAATACTTGGTCACATTATGCTTACTACCATTTTTCGGATGCCGGGGAAGCCGATCAGCCCCAGTCCGTTATCGGACGTTTTGTCGTGGAGGCTGAATTTGCCTACAGTTTCGCCAAAGACCCCTTCCTTAACCACCTATTCCAGCACTTAAGTAGGATATAGATGAATTAAGCCTTGTATTCGATAGCGGAGCTTTTTTGGGGTATGAATGACAAAAACTATTGCCATAGATAGAAATGGGATAAATTAATTACTTAAAAACAATTAAGGCGTTAATTTAATTACGTTTCATTAGTAGCATAGCATTTGAAATTAATTCTACGAAAAAACCCGTTAACATGCTCTGTTCATCAACTACGTCCATTTTTGCACGATTGGCACCCCCTCGTCAGAACTAAATTTCGTCAAAATACGCATCCTAGTAACCGGAGCCTTATTATTAGAGATGCGATGTTATTTAGCTTTTAGTTTTTTTTTTTTTGTGAGACTAAAATATTTTGTAATCGCGATAGAAATACGATTGTATTTTCTGTTATATGTTTGTCGAAGTACTTCTTGGAATACATATGTAGATACGTTGGTTTGTAATATAATAGTTGACTTTTCCTGTAATACTAATAATGAGTTATAAGTATGTATGTATGTGTATGAAAGTATGCAATGTATCAAGTTTATATGTATATGCTGACTATAATTTTATTGAGAATCTTATAACTAAACTTTTTTGCAGCTCTTTATTTCCTTAATAATCTTAACTATAGAGTTCGTTATTCCTTCGACAATTCTTTTGGTTATCTTTTGATTTTTATTTTTATGAGAATTGCTTATGGTTCTGCCACTACAATGGCGAATGCCTTTGTGTTTAAGAATGTATGAGTTACCTACAGTACAACTTTAGTAATTTTCCAACTGCCTGGTTTGTTTCATGTAATAATGCGAAGATAACATGAAGGAATGACCAAAAAAATTGTATTTGTATTTGTTTTCATTGATAAGCGCAACTTAGCTTTTACTTTTTTACTCAATTACATTTCGTCCATCTATTTATTTTATTTTATGATTTTTTTAATCAATTCTTCATTGCATTGTTGATTGATGAAGGATTCTTTTTGAAATTCTAAAATAAGTATTTGCTTTTGTTTACAAGTACTTTGATTTTAATCTTGCAAAAACATCACCCTTGCCTAGGATATCATCACGCATTATATGTATGTATGTATAAGCTTAACTGGTCTCTACATTTGACTAACCTGATATATGTATGTATGTGTTATTGCATTGAATGCGCTCTGCATTTGTCAAGACTGCAGCTATCACCATTGCCGTCTGTCGCACATCTCAAACACTACTCTTCGATACGAACTCGCGCAAGATGTCGCAGGCCATTTCGATGTTGTTTCGTGAGATGCCCAGCGCTGTGATCGCATTCTCCTTCGAATATCCCTCATTCATGAGACGTGCAATGTACTCCAGATTGATATTTTCATATGGAACATTACATTCCTTTTGATTGATCGTCACATTCTCGTACAGCAGAGGCTGTTGCTGTATTTGTTGTGTTGATTGTAAGGTTTGCTGTTGATTTCGGTGCGAGCCCACAGCCGCTGATGTCGTCGATGGTCCTCCGGTTGGTGCTGACGCCGCTGGCTGTGTTGATGAAGTAGCATTGCAGAGCTGAGTATAGTGCGGAGTACCCGACATGGAGGTTATACATGTTGTTGGTGGCAACTTTACCGTTGTTGGTTCCAAAATTCGAGCTGCTGCCGCCAGACGTGCTTCCAGTGGCCGTGTATCAATTACACCCGTAATGGTCTCTGCTGGTCCTACTATGTCGTCGTCCAGTATCGAACGCGTGGGCGAAGTAGCTGATGCCGAGCCTGGTGTCGACTGCAATGAGATTGAGGCCGCAGATGTTGCTACAGTCGTAGTGGCGATTTGTTGCGTGCGTAAATCGTCGACGACGCTATCAACTAGCATTAGATTGCCGTGCGGTGGTATCGGCGGTGCCGTTGTCTGCGGTGGCATGGCAGCTCCTTCAGTGTTCGCCGCTAAACTTTCTGAGGGAGTTGCAGTTCCAGCTGACATCTGGCCTCTGTGCTTGACCACTGTCGCACTTGCAGCAGCTGCAACTGGCGTCACAGCAGCACTAGCGCCGACCATACTTGTGGCGCTATTTTCAACACCAGGTGACGACTTTCGTGGCGGCAGGGGTGGAGCACCAGAGATGCCGGCGTTCACGGATCCGCTGACGGCTTGACGTGATCCCGCTGATTGCTGTTGTGTTTGCGGCAGCAAGGGTTCTTGCAGGCCTTGCAATATAGCATACGATGAGTTGTCGTTGTGTTCGGATTTGCTCGTTGCCATTCTTGTAACATAGTTGCTGGTGGAATTGCCACAATTCGGGGCGGCAGCGGCACCCATTTGAGGCGCACTCATGCGATTGGTTGACTTTTGAGCAGCGCTTACGGTGTTGCCAGCTCCGCCGCCATTGAGCGCCTGTATCGACGGTGCCGTGGGTGCGGGCTGTGGTGAAAGTACTGCGTTAGCTATGGCCGATGCGCTGGCAGCGATGATGTAGTTGCTGCTACCGCCTGAGTTGGCTAATGTGAGACTAGGCACGTGGCCGGCATACAAATCATTCTGCACAGCAAGCAAGCTGGGCGTAGTGCTCCTACGAGAGAAACGCGGAGAGGTGTGTGGACTATGCTTGTCCGTGGCGGGTGTGGTGGTGGTCATACTGTTGCTCAATGCGTGAAGCGACGATGTGGCTATGTTGAACTCCGCGCCGTCCTACATTCGAAACGATATGAAGGAGCAGGGCAGACACCAACGAAGACAGGAAGGTAATAAAATATTGAGAAAGAAATAAGGCGTTGCATTCAGTATAAATGTAAATGTTTTTTTTTTGTTTTTTGTTTTTTTTTTGCAAAACCGCATTTGTTTCAATTTTTTGGCACTGAAACTTGAGGGGAGACTGCGACGCATGCTGGGAACACCGATTGGAACATAACAACAAGTACAACGTAAAATAACAACGATTAAACGAGAAAACGGGCAAAGTACGAGCAGGCGGTAGACATTCCAAAATTAACGAAAAGCCATTATAAAAATATAAGAATATACTATATGTATAACAAACGAAGAGCTAAGCAACATGCCACATAAAATCAGCGAAAATATCACTAGTAAAGGGTGGAACAAAAAAGGGTAAATAAAATATTCACAGCATCATTGCATATTGACCAGTTCTAAATATGTATAGCAGCACAATAATGACAGTATTAAATAGGAGTTTCCATCACACCTTGTCAAGTTTGGTTTGAAGACAAACCGCTTTCGACATTGTGCCTGAAGACGGCACATTTCGTTTTTATTTATAGTGTTTTTTCCTAATATTGTTGGTTAAAAATTTGCAAGCGCATACATACAGTCAGTCAATAAAGTTTAGGTACAGCGATTTTTTTTACAATACGGACAACTATTTTTTAAATATTTTATTTTTCTCTAATTTTTTATAAAAGTATCGTTAATTCTACAATAAAAAAAAAAAAAAATCAGAGTTCTAAACCTTGTGTAAAATTAAAGAAAATTCTGTAAAATTGCATTCAAATATTGCACTTTTTATTTACACTCTTTAGAAAAAAGTTGAGTTTTCAGTTTTTAGCGCATAAAATGTATAAAATTTGGATGTAAATTTGCCGAATTTTCTTTACTTTTGCATAAGGTTTGGAACTCTGATTTTTTCGGTTTTTGCTTTTATAAAAAATTAGGGAGAAGTAAAATATTTAAAAAATAGTGGCCGGTATTGCACTTTCTGCAATGCGCTTTTAAGGTCCTCTGCATAGATGAAAAGCATTTGTATGGCGAAAAGCATATACTGAGTTTGGGCAAAAAAAAAAAATATACACGAAGGCAGTTAAGGCCCGTCTACATACAGCTTTGGTCTTGCGGTGGCGTGGCTTCAACAGCTGTCCACATAGCCAAAATTTGGCAACGATAATGCCAACACAAAGCAGAAAGATGGCCAACTCTCAACTTTTCGCGTGCGTCGTTCGTCAGCTGTTGCAAATAAATAAAATTATGTGAAATATTTTTCCTTTTTAATCAAACGCGGGCAAGAGATATCTATTTCATGCAATTATTGATATGAAATATTAGATTATCTGTAGCTACTTAGTATGATTATTTAGTGGTCAAAGTATTCGCTGCGAAGCGTTCATTGTAGCAAGCACTGGCCAACGCAACACCAAAGTTGTTTGTGGACGAGCCATAAGTATAAATGGAGTTTTGTTTTGGTTTGGAGCTGCATGCGAAGTGCAGAGGTTGGAAAGTTACTTTTTCCCAAAAGGACGGGCCAAGTTTAACTATCTTAATAATATTTTAAAGGAGAATGTTAAGAAAAGTTTTTTATTCTATCAAGACAACAATCTAAACACACCTCAATTGTAGAAAAGCTTTGGCTGATTCGCAACTGCTCCAACAACCATCGTTCGTAAAAGCTTTAGGGCCGGTTACTCAATGTCTGATTACCACTAACTACAGGTTAAACATCGTTAGCAACGTAACCGACTGCCTGTTATATGTTAGGAGGCCATCTCATCGATAACGATGTTTAACCTGCAGTTAGGACCGGTTTTTCAATGTCTGATTAGCACTAATCGGAGGTAGAAGTTCCGGTTAAATACAACGATTGATTTATCGACCACATGTTATATCGATAAAGCAGTCTTTGTATTTAACCGGAGCTTCTACCTCCGATTAGTGCTAGTCAGACATTGAAAAACCGGCCCTAAAACGCTTTTAAACGTGTATCATGTTGAATTAAATATTCTTTATTTAATGAGAGATGTAAAGTAGGGCTGCTTGTGATCTAAACAAATGCTCAACTGACGAACCCGCTTTCGCAATCCTTTTTTCTCAAACCCAGTTACAAATACAACGTCGCGCTCTTGCGTGATCTTGTATTGTCGGTTCACGAGTTTTAACCAGACATTAGGTCCACTTCTTACCTTTTCTGACTAAAATCTAACGTGTCAAAATGCACGAGCATAAGCAAAATGCGCTCACTAGAAGAGAATAACAGGAAAAAGTAAAGGAACACAAAAAACCAAATTTTTAGTCCAAAGAATGGCAACAACAAAACTTATGTCAAATAATAGCCCAGTTATGCATAAGAGTTGCATGAGAGTTGTCACATAAGAATCTGTCATAAGAAGAGGTTTTGCGTGTAAGCGGTTACCCAACGCATAGCACTTAACATGTAGAATTCTGTTGAGTTTTGACTTTTACGTAAAAATGGTATAGCAGTGCAAGTATGCCCAACTGGGCTCTAAGAATAGAAATGTATGTACAAAACACATTCACACAAGCACAGGCACAATAAACACTTACTATATCAATTATTTTTTGCCCCCTTCCATTTTTAATTCACTCTTTTTAGTTTTTAGATTATTNTTGATCCGGATCAACGCTGCCGTCTGTTTAGGCTTTTATGCCCTGTCCAAATCGGATGTTCCAACCGCTCAGATTTGACGCCGCGTTATTTCATACAAAATGTATTTGAGTTTACTTATTTAAGTAGGTAATTTAGGCCAATATCAGTTTAGATGAATAAATCGAATATGGCACAGGTTTTAAAATTTATCTGCCCTTCAAACACATTTTTTTCAGAAACAAATTTGTGTTTAAAGGGCAGATAAATTTTAAAACCCACTTGAGGAACCGGCTCTTAAGAATGTATTCAGTAAAAACTTGCAACTTTCCAAAAGAATTAACTACCTCACATGAAAACTGGATTTTACGATAAACTGTTAATTTGCAGTAATTATATTTACACTCGCGCCTTAAAATGACTACCATTATGAGAATTTTCAAGTTGAAATTAACGAGACAAAATGTCTACACATTCCCTTTCTCATGTTACCTTAGGAAATTGCTTATGAAAAGCTTTGGTAACCATTCATCTTACATTTTCCGTTTCTTGATTTGGAGAATAAATCAGTGAGCTGTTCGTAATAATTACATTTTTTCCGAAATTTTTTCATATTGTTCGTTCGCGTGCTTTGAACATTCTTTATCTTTGAGAGAAAGTCGTAGTACTTTATTCTCCAGCAATTTGCTGAAGGATAGTGATTACTGAAAAACTAGGCGATTGGATCCGATATTAAAAAATTTGTATTTATAAACTTTGCATTGGCCCCGGTCTCTAATCTTCGCTTCTGAATTGATAAGCGTAGTAGGTTTTGTGGATGGACGTTTATGTATGTAAGGTTAGTTAAGCTTGGCTATGATCTTAATGGACCCCTCACATTGAAGAAAGTGGATTGTGGAATGTCTGAGTTATAGAAAATTAAGAAAATTAATTCGTGTAAAAAAATGTGGGTTGCACATATGATTTATCATAAAAAATTAATACACCTGCTTTCGTTTATGGATTCATTATTACATCTCTGTAAGAAAAAGTTGCAATCATAACCGCAGTGGTGCACAAACATTTTAAATATCACCTTCGATGTGAATTTTCAGCAAGGTTGTGCCAGTGTAGCAAATGCAAGCTTTGCAAATTCCCATCAGTGTTGCTGTTATTATGTGCCTTTAAAATGCGTGTGAAAAAGTAAAGTCGGAATTTTTATGCTCTCACCCCCTGGGATTATTCTATACCGAAGAAAATATTCCCAATTTTTTTTTATTTTGAAATCAAAAAATATTTAGAGGTCGCTCAAAGCGCCCAAAGGTTTCCAGGTATTTTATATGGGGAAAAAACAATTTTTCGTAGAAATGGTATAGAATTCTTAAAAACCACTATTTTTCTATCGGAAACCCCTGTTTATCTGCAGAAGGTTCCAATAATAATAATAAGCAATTGTTTATTTAACCGTTTTTTCATTGCAACTATAATTTATAGATCCGTCAAAAACCCACAAAAACTCCGAAAAATGCGAGGAGGAGACCAATAAAAAAACGTTAGTATTAAAAAATGGTTAAATAAACAATTGAGTATTATAATTGGGAATCTCCTGCAGACAAACAGGGTTTTCCGATAGAAAAATAATGAGTTTTAAAAATTCTATACCAAGGGTACTTTTTTCGATATAGAACAATCCTAGGGGGTGAGAGCATTCTAATTCCGATTTTACTGTTTTTGGACCACCCTAGTGTACATAAGTATGTATTCAATAACAGCTGTA